AACCAAAATAGTATAGTATTAAAAAATAAAATGTGAAACTTAGATGGGGCCTCAATTGCAGGCTATAATAAGTCACATGTGGTTGATATTATTCCAAGTAAAAAGAGCGTGGGAGTGCCATCTCGTCCGGGATGTTATGATCAAATCTAGGAAAAATTATTGTTCAATGTAGTTGCAAGTGGATTGGTGTGTGGTCCTAAAATAAAAATTTGCAAAAAATAAAAAATGGCAAAGTAGATACATTCACACCATAAATTTGCAAAAAAAATAAATAAATAAATAAATAAATAAATATAAATAAATCTTTTTTATTTAATCATATACTTAATAAATTAATAAATGTTCAACAGGGTGTTCGAGGTGGGACTTGTCGGCCCAGGTAATGTTCAATGACATCCTGGCCCGGTCCGATCGCCAATCGGGGTATTAGGACCGTACCAATTTTGATAGGTTTCGTGGCCGGTGAACATGAAGCCGTTCAACTCCTTCTCGATCAATATGCAACCATTTAATAATAAATTAATAAATGCAAATAAAATTAAAAAAAAAATCTTTTAAAAAAAAGTATCAAGTGTATGTGTCTACTTTGCAAAAAAAAGTTGCAAAGTTTGCTTATGGTGATTATTTATTTATTTTATTTTAATATCTAAATTATGCTATTTTAGGATGCTTCGTGACACACGCCCATCAACATAGGATAAACTGGTGTGAATTATCAACAGTTGGTAAATTTCGGTAACTCGTAGGTAAATTGAGCACGAATTCCATGTTTTAACAAGTCATGTCATGTTTTGTCGAACAAAAAAGAAGTTGTCCATATTTACTACACGCTACAAGTTATAGACCCAAAATGCACTTTTGCCTTAAAAAACTAATAAAAAATAACTTTAACTTCGGATTCCTAGGCCTTTGTCTAATCCATATTTAGCTATTAAGATTTTTGGTACATTAATGTTGGCTTATATTTAAACCCAAAATCATTCATGTTCAATCATTAAGAATCAAACAAACAAAGGAGCAGTTGCATACCTAATTATCTTGAGAATTCTTCTCTTCTCTTGAATTGGACTGGATTCCTTGTTGTGTACTGGACTGGTGAGAATTTCCAAACGATCGTACCTTACGGCAGATATATTTTGAAGAAATGTGTGTGTATCTTTTTAACATACATATCAGTATGTTTGTATCAATATATATATTTATACTACAGTATGGTCCCTTTTAAGGGAAAAGGTACTTGTTCAAAATCTGCCGATTATTTACGTCGTTTGGGGCCACTACCAGGTAAGTAAATCATTTTTTAATTTTTAGTTCGGTCCCTCAACAAACCAAAAATTTCATAATGGTATCTACACTTTTAAATCCACAATAATTTGATAGTCTCTTTATTCAAAATAATAAATTTAGTAGATATTATGATAACTATACACATTTAATTCACAAATGTTGTTCAAATTAAATATTTCTAACAATTAATTCTACTTGCATAAAATAGATAATTATACTCTATTAGAATCGGGGGAAGAGAGTGCAGTCCCACCAGATGAAGGTGCACCACCTTAGTAAGATTTCATCCCAAAACTAATTGGTGATGAGAGGAGTAGCACACTAGGCATATATACTAAATCAATTTTCCCTATAGAATCAATGTAGGACACTCACAATTGATATTCCAGCATACTCTCATATTGGGGTATTAGTCGTTCAATCAACACAACTATATAATGAAATGTATGAATACGTGTGATCTGACCACTATAATAGTGGTCAATGCCAATTGCCAGGTTACCTTCAGACTTCTAGAAGCTTGGCCACGGTACCTTCTGCTTTTCATTATCTCTTTACGGTCTACCAAAATCAAACAATATTTCATATCAACCGACTTTAGATAGCTCGCTATTTTTTCAAAAGTTTGGGGCAGCCAGCTATTATTATTACACTTTTTATCCTCAAATCAGCCAATCGGGATTGGACAGCTCGCGCCTAAGTTACACATATTTGGCTACTAAGTCATTAGTCATGTTAATTGCGTTAATTATTTCTATAGTGGTTGATTAATTAGCTATTAATTAAATAGTTATTAGATCACACCAACAATATTTCGATGTACATATGGTAAAAGGTCAGCGTCCTCAACTACCAAAAATATCTGTAGTAGCATAAGTGCATGTTTGTTTCCTAAACTAGACTATATATTATTATGTTTTTAATCTGGGCTTAGTCTTATATTTGTTTCCTAAAATAAGGCCCGCCAGATATCTCAAGGCCCAAGACAAGATTGTATACTATTTTATCTTGCTTTGTTCAGATTATTTAGTTTTAGGGTAGGGATAAGATTGTTTTGATCTCTGCCGTACTTATTTAATCAAATGTCTATAGTACCACCCACAAAGTCGAAAACATTCCAACATTATCCTCCAAACTTCACAAATATACATTACAAAAAGTTCACGTTCATTTTGTAACTTCATGATGTAGAACGTGATACGAAAGCAGGGAAGAACGAGATACTCTCTCGTGAAAATAGAACACACCAGATAAATTTTATAAATTCTTCATTTCTTCTGATGTTTGACATACGATATTAAATAGCAAAAGAGCCCACACTTGCAAAACAACTGCAAGGGCCTTATTCACTTACCTAAACTGAAATAATAAATAAGGAAATAGAATAATAACTAGAAAGGAATAATAACATAAATAAGAAACTAAATCCGGAGCCGATCAAATTTATCCAAAAAGGCCAGAGCAGCCTCGTCTCCATCACTTCACCAGTCTCAACTCACAAAAATTCTTCCACTCATCAACCGATTGTTCGTTATGTTTTTGTGGTGCTTTTTTTGTGTTTTATTTGCCTTAGGCTAATGTTTTTAAGTTCATTTTAGTGTCGATCAGTCTATTTTGTTGTGTTTCGTATATTTTTGTTCTCGGTTTGTGTTTTTGTGTTATGCTGTATTTTCTTGCTTATTTTTTGTGTTGTTTATGATCACATTAATTGTTCGAGTTTGAGAAGATGAGTCATTTCCGAGACATTTCCCAACTGTCCGCACCATGCCTGAGCCATTGACCGAACCAATCGAGCCATCTGAGTTATCACCCGAGAGACGAAGTCGAGAGCTGCGGCGAGAGCTCGCCGCGAACCATGAAAATATATAGTATATCTCAATACTCGAGGTACTAATTAATTTCTTATATAGGTTGAAAAAATAAATTAAAAGAATAAATATGAATAAAAAATGTAAAAAATAAAATAAAATATTTAACCATGAAAAATTTGTGTTGTATAAGGATTAAAGTTATTAAAAAAAATTAATTATCTTTCATTTTAACATTTCATGCACTTAGAATTATAATAAAGGAAGATAAATATTATGGATTAAGTGTTGATCAATTATCGAACAATGTGAAAAATATGAATTGTTAAAAAAGTTATAAGACGATAATCGATTATTTTATAAGTACGTATAAATAATTTGTATGCAAATATCATATGATTACAAACAATAATTTTCATAAAGTGATAAACAGTAATTTTTATATTTAAATAGTCAAGACCTATAAAAAATTAAAAATAAAACTAAATAAATTATATTAAATAATTAAATTTTATATTCTCGTATTCTACCCGTCTGCTTAACGAAATGCTCTTTTCGCATAGAAAGAAAGTGTGATGCCATATAGTAAAGAAAAGTCAAGGAAGTCAATAAAAAATGAATAGTCTAATGTACCAAGTGATTTTCTCTAAA